GAAACAAGCATTGATAATACTGAGCTATAGAAGGACAGGAAAGCCCTAAGTGGGCAGTCATAGGACCTTCATGTCCTTATTCAGGGCTTCTAAGAAGATCCATGGACGCAGGTGGTGCTGTGGTCTAAACCACAGAGCCTAGGGCTTGCCGATCAGAAGATCGGCGGTTCGAATCCCTGCAACGGGGTGATCTCCTGTTGTTCGGTCCCAGCTCCTGCCCACCTAGCAGTTTGAAAGCACGTCAAAGTGCAAGTAGATAAATAGGTACTGCTCCGGCGGGAAGGTAAACGGTGTTTCTGGGTAAACGGTGTTTCCGTGTGCTGCTTTGGTTCGCCAGAAGCGGCATAGTCATGCTGGCCACATGACCCTGAAGCTGTCTGCGGACAAACGTCGGCTCCCTCAGCCAGTAAAGTGAGATGAGCATCACAACCCTAGTGTCGTTCGCGACTGGACCTAACGGTCAGGGGACCCTTTACCTTTACCTTTAAGAAGATCCATGCCACCCACAAGCAAATGTGGATTATACTCTCCTACTCCATCAGTTCCTGACAAGAACCCCGCATAGTCCTCACATCCTCAGTCACCTCACTCTTCTTTCAAATCCTTTCCCTGTATAACATTACCTCACTTCCTGATTTTTGTGGCTTCTTCTGTCCTTACAATAAAACTGTGATCAGAATGTATACACAGCCTAATTAACATATGTGGTAGTAAGTTACACGGGTGTTATTTGAGTGTTTGGAGCTGCCTTACTATGAAAGCTGGTGTAGCTTTGATTTAGTTTTCTGTCTCCCAAAATTTCTCTGCTTTGAAGTATTTAGTGGCTCTTACATCCAGCTAACAGGGTTTGTTGCAAGCAATTATTGCAAGGTAATTTATGTTTTTTATGTATGCTGATTCAATACTGTTGTATTAATTTGCAGAAATAAAAAAAATGGGGGGGGGGTGCAATTGTGATTAAATGCAAAGAAGTAAAAGTGTGAGCAGCACCTGTTCAAGCCTTCAGCAGTCTCAGTCTGCGGAATATTTATGGGAAAAGTAAGTAAGAATCCTGCAGTTCTTGTAGAGAGCCCTCTTTAGTTACTGATTTAAGACCATATAAAACCCAATAAAAGATAAACTCTTTGTTACAAAACATCTGGTAATTCCACTTGTGTTTTCATCATGCAAAGGCTATTTCCCTTTTTCCTTCTAGATAAGCAAATGCAAGTGGGAGTATGGTCTTAGTGAATAAAGATGGGGGGGGGAATAAAGCAGACATCATCTCCAGAGATTAAATTTCTTACGTATTAAACTGTTAAGTGCATCGTTCTGCCCTTTCAGTAGAGAGAATTCCTTTTGGGGTTCCCAGTAAAGTCTGCACAGCACAGCACCGCTACCATACACCATTCACATTATTGAACCATCTTCAGGGTTAGGATGTGGTTGTTCTTAGTGGGGCAAGGGGTCAGATTCAGCAGTGGCTGCTGCTACAGGAGACTGCACCAGATTTTCACTCTACTCCATTCCCACCCCAATTTAGCAACATGGTTTTCGTTTGGGTTATTGCTTTTCCATTTATCTCAAAGAAAGTATATGGACATGGCAGAGTGTGTGTGTGTGTGGGGGGGTGGTTCAGTTCACGAGGGAAGGGTAAATAGAATAGCACATTTGATTTGTCCACTCTCCACATTTGTTATGGGATGTGTGGCAAACAAAGGAAAGAGAAGTGGAGTAAAATGGGATGCAATGGAACGAATCAAAGCATGGAATTTATCAGAACGGAGCAAAGTGTTATGTGTGTATATAACATTTTTACTATTATCTCAATTCTGTAAATTGTTCAAGGATAGTTGGCCAAATCCTATAAAAAAGGTAAGGGCTTTTTTTTTTTAAAGTATATGAGCATTTAGTATATTGAATTTATGTTTGAATTTGACACCCCTGCTTCAGAAGAGATAATATTATGCAGTGAACTCCCGTTGCTTGGTCCCTGCTCTTGCCAACCTAGCAGTTCGAAAGCACATCAAAGTGCAAGTGGATAAATAGGTACCGCTCCGGCGGGAAGGTAAATGTCATTTCTGTGTGCTGCTCTGGTTCGCCAGAAGCGACTTTGACATGCTGGCCACATGACCCGGAAGCTGTATGCCAGCTCCCTCGGCCAATAAAGCGAGATGAGTGCTGTAACCCCAGAGTCAGTCACAACTGGACCTAATGGTCAGGGGTCCCTTTACCTTACTACATTTATTATTATATTCATTTCTGCAGTGAGCAAATGTTTGCTGAACTTTGCATTTCCCGCCCCACTTTCAGTAATATGTAAACTGTGTTTCTTATTTATTAATCTAATAATTGTTTTCTAGAATGTCTAATTATTCAATACACCAGCGTGTCTTTATGTCTCCTAGGAAGATGAAGGAACAATACATGGAGTTCCCACGTGGTCACTGAAACTGACCAGATGAAGACCTCCTTCTCAACGGTGTTGCTGCAACCTGTAGATCAGAGATGGGGAACCTGCGGTTCTCCAGATGTTGTTGTATTACAGTTCCCATCAGCCCCAGCCAGCATGGCCACTGGTCTTACTATTTTACAAACGCAGAACACCTGATGAGGGTTTGTATTTCTGAAAGGGAAGCCGGTGGAAATGGGCTGGCGGGGTGAGAGGGGAATGTTGCTTATGATTGCTAAAAAGCCATGAGTAGTAGAAGACAAACCTAGACAGCATCTTAAAATGTAGAGACATCACCTTGCCAACAAAGGTACATATAGTAAAAGCTATGGTTTTCCCAGTAGTGATGTATGGAAGTGAAAGCTGGACCATAAAGAAGGCTGATCGCCGAAGAATTGATGCTTTTGAATTATGGTGCTGGAGGAGACTCTTGAGAGTCCCATGGACTGCAAGAAGATCAAACCTCTCCATTCTTAAGGAAATCAGCCCTGAATGCTCACTGGAAGGACAGATCGTGAAGCTGAGGCTCCAATACTTTGGCCACCTCATGAGAAGAGAAGTCTCCCTGGAAAAGACCCTGATGTTGGGAAAGATGGAGGGCACAAGGAGAAGGGGACAACAGAGGAAGAGATGGTTGGATAGTGTTCTCGAAGCTACCAGAATGAGTTTGACCAAACTGAGGGAGGCAGTGGAAGACAGGAGTGCCTGGCGTGCTCTGGTCCATGGGGTCATGAAGAGTCGGACACGACTAAACGACTAAACAACAACAAAGTAGAAGACAATCTACTATTGATAAAATCTTTGGCCTTAGTAAAAACAACTCGTTAGTTCAAAGAAGTGTGAGAGATAGAGCAAAATGGAGACTGTGATTCTGCTGTTGATGTATTCAGTTGCATACTGGAGTATGCAAAGCATATGTGCCGCAGCTAAACTATCCTGCCCATCCAGTTCTTCACCCTGTCATGACCTGCTGATGATCATGCCAGTTCAGTACACTTTGATATTTTGTTCCATATGCCAGACAGAAGGCAAACCATGCTTATGATTAGGGCTTGAAAACCCCACTGGATCCCTCCAAAGTATCTAGCATATGATCAATGTTAATTGTATTACATTAATTATTCCCTTTTTCTGGCACAGGACATGTGTGTTCCAAGGGCCAAAAACAATGTGATATGTTCCATGGCATGTGGTTCTGTAGCCTGACAGATCAGAAGCGGCTAAACACAAATGTGGGAACAAGGTGATAAACTGACCCATCCGTCTGCCAAACTATCTACCTAGAAACTTGTGTATGAGGCACCCCAGTGGCTTCATTGGTTCTAAAATACACCAGCAATTTACCTTATATCACTATCGCACTTCTAATGTACATATGCTAGAGAGTTAGTCATCAATAAATCAGAGGCAGCATGGTTTAATGAATGGAACACAGTGATCTGTAGCGACTTAGGCTTCGAAAACACAAAAGAGGATAGATACTCTGCCCAAGAAAAGCACCAGGGTCTAAAAGTTTATAATAATATTACCACAGAGTTAAAACTAAGTGGTAATATTACCACAGAGTTAAAACTAAGCACACAGTTTGAATGCTACTATGAAGGCCTTATTCATTTGGCTAAGTTCCATTTGTTCCCTGTGGAATATACCCTAATGATCACTTTTCTTAATATAATTGCTGAGGGATGTGTGTTAACTCTGGGATTTATTTCTTTTAAATCTTTACTGGGAAACACATGAATGGTTTTCCTAAAATGGCAACTCCCCTGAATCTTGCAGTGGCTCTGAGGCATCCCCAGATAGTTTGAATGTATTGGGGTTCAAACAGTGAACATCCGGACAGAAAAGTTGCAAAGATGCTGACCTTATTTTGGCAAAATTGCAAATTTTGAGCTACTTTAAAAAAAAACAAATAGGCAAAAACAGCACTGTGGCATGGGCTTCCATACGTCTGGATTTTCCCAGACATTTGCTGCTGCTGTGAGTGCTGGAAGGAAGACCTGCTCCCTGCTGCAAGGCCCATTTCCACGTGGCCTAGGGCCGACTCACCCTGAACAGCTAAAAGGCTCCTGGGAGGGCCACTGGGACATTGCTGGAACAATTTTTGGGTTGGGGCAACTGGCTGAAATGTTTTTAAATGTTTTAAACGGTTCTAATTTTGGTTCCTCTGTTTTGTTTTTGTCAGGGTGGTGGTGGTTAAATGTTTAGTTGGGGTTGGCAATTATTTTAATTTTGGTATAACTGTAAACTATTGTTGTTATTGGTTTCTATTGATTTATTGGTTTTCTATGTTGCTTGTATACTAGGATATTTTGTTTTTTAATGTTTGGTTGTGTGTTTATAGATGTTGTAAGCCATCCAGAGTGGCTGGGGAAATCCAGCCAGATGGGTGGGAAATAAATAGTATAATTATTATTATTATTATTAGCCCAAATTCCTCCTGAACACTGCTAAAGACAGCTGGATTCCAGCTATGTCCGGGAAATCCTGGACATATGGAAACCCTAGAATGTATAGTTCCAATACATGAGGTAAATATATAAATACCTTCATATTTTAGGACAAGGATGGTAGCTCAGTGATAGGACATCTGCTTTGCTTGCAGAGGGTCCCAGGTTCCATCCCTGGCATCTCCAGGTAGCGCTGTCTGATATCTTGGAGATGCTGCCTGAACTGCAACAGCATTGCACTTTATGTTTCCCCTAACCACAACAATACTGCAATGTTGAGTGTTAGGAGAATGTAGCTATCATGTCAATAAGAAACTCTATGCTGGGAGGTATATCTGGTTTTCCTACCACATCTGAATAACACTTGCACATGTACCAGCGTAAAATCCCTTAGCAAGCCTACATCTTGAACCCAGAGCTTTGAGCAGCAGCTCCTGAGGAAAGTTCTACTTTTGAAAATGCACAAGGTTCTTAGTTAAGTGGGAACCACTCTAGAAAGGCAAAGCATTATTAACAAGTGGTGGTGGTGTGCGATGGTTAAGGAGGCACTTGGGGGAGGCTGCTGCCTTGAGTGGGCGACAGTTGATCAGGCAGAAGGCCTCCCCTGCGTGAAATAACTGTTATTTTATGAGAAGTAGGTGCCTGCCTCAAGCAGGCAGCGGTGGGTGTGGCCAGCTGGATGTTGGAGCTCTTCTCAGCGCTGCTACTGCCGCCGCCACCACAGAAAACAGACAGGCAAGAGCAACAGCAACAAACACCCTTCCAGCAACGGATTGAAGTGTATTGTTTGTGCATCACAAGGTCAAGTCGAGAACTACAGGAGGGCGGACCTGGCTCCTCTTCTTCCTGTGCAAACTGGGCAAAGTTCTTTTTCCTCTTTGCCCTGTGGAAACCTTTTGGTAGTAAAAGAAGGCATTTGGAGGGATCGAAACAAACAGGCTCAATGGGGCAAAAATGTTAAGCGCCCCCCAATCTCTCTGTGTAGGGGGGGTGTCGAATCATGCCATTCAACCCCTGCTTTCAATCTCTCTCTCCTCCCCCCCCCCCCTTTTGGCACGGTTGCTGAAAAGGAGCAAGTGCTTAACGTCAGCATGCTCCCGGCTGTAAGTGATCTGGATAACTATTTGAATTAAAAGCGACCCCCCCCCATGCCCGTCTCTCTCCAGAGTGGTAGTATTTCAGCACAGAGGGGGCCGCGTAACTTTTGTGACCCGCGGGAAAACGATTCTGTTCCGATCTCGATTTGCAACCTCCCCCCCCCCTGGCTTGCTTCACTCCCTCACCTCCCGTGCCCTCCTAGCGAATGCGAGCTCCCCCCCCCCAGTCCCCACGCGCGGTTTTCGCTGCGAGGGTCTCTTTCCTCCTTTCCGCGGAAGAGGTTTCTTGGTCGGCGTTTCTTTCCCCTTAATATCCCTCGCCGCCCGCCTTGCACCTCATCTGTTATTTGCAAGAAACGTCTTTTTGACGCAGGAAGAAATGGCAAATTTGAAGTACGTCATTAATATGGCGCCAAAAGATTTTGTTAAGTATAAGCTTATTTTTTGTAAGGTTGCAGCAGCAGGCTAGTGTGTACGCCTGTGCATAGCTCCGGGGAGGTGAAAGCGGCGCGGTGGGGGGGGGGGGCGCAGAGAGAGAGAGAGAGGAAAAAAGAGGGGGAGTGTGTATATATGAGAAGGGGAGGAAGCAAAGAAAGTGTTGCAGCTCTGTGATCTGTGTGTGCACTGCTGCCGCCGTTGTGTGCGCGCGCGAGGCTGAAGATCATTGCGAAAGTGACCTGATCAGGCTTGTAGAGAGAGAGGGAGAGAAGGAGAGAGGGAGAAAAGGAGAGCGAGCCCGTGTATGCAACCCGACCTCTTTCCAGCTGCCCAGGGCACAAGAGAAAAGAGATGGGGACTCAGCGCATCGGAGGGAGGTGAAGGCGAGGGAGGGGTGGTGGGTGAGCAGTGCGTTGGGGTGGGAGGCAACACATGCCGAACACAATCAGGGATGGGACCCACGTTTGCTACTGCCGCCGCCGCTGCCGCCGCTGCACCTGGACCTGCTGCTCGTCAGGGAGGAACAACAAACAAGAAAATAAGAAATTGAGGGAAGGGGGTGCGAGGGGGCGTGGGGGGAGGAAGAAGGTGGGGTGAAACCGCCAGCATCACCCTAATTTATATACTACTCCTTTGAAGAAGTCCCTTCTTCGCCAGCAGGGGAAAAGGGGGGTCGGAAGAGAAAAGAAGAAAAAGGGCAGTCGCAGGATTTCGGGCAATTGCAAAGAGATCCGAAAAGAAGTCTGGATTTAAAAAAGAAATAGGAACACGCAGGGCTCGCTGGATTTTGCACAGAGCGGCCATCTCAGCTGGAAGCAATTCTTTGGAATTGATTTTTTGTTGTTTTTGTTTTTAATTTTGCATCCATGGAGTTACTTTGTATCTACTCCTAAAAGAAGGGCATCATCTTCGGATCCTACAAGGGGGATGGTTTGCCCCCTGCGCAATGGTGCCGGATTAGTCTTTGCAAAGGGAGATTCCATGAGCGGTTACGTTTTTGGAGCATCTCTCCCCACACCTCTCTGGTAACCCGAGGGACAGTCTCAACTCTTGGAGGACGCTCTTTCCCAGGCAAGGTAAAAAGGGTGGAGAATTGCTCCATTTTTATTTTTTTTGCAGCTTCTCTCGATTCCCCCCCCCCCCCTTGCATTTGTTTTACTGCTCCCTGACTGTGCTGCCTGCAAAGGAGGATGGGGGGTGGAAGAGTGTGTAGCGTTTTTAGACATGGATTGCGCATGTTGGTCAGTCATGTTTTAAAAGGGAGGCGGCAGGAATGTAAACAACAACTTTTTAAAGGATCAGAAGCCTCAGGAAACGTTTCCTCGAATTAATGACTGCGGCAGAGCTAACCCCAAAAGGTCTCGAAGCAAGAGGGTGGCCGGGAGAGGGGAGTTAAAGACGTTTTATTGAGGTGGTAGGGGGAAGAAGGCGCTCGAGGGGCAAAAAAGGGTGGCGGGCGAAAAGTGCGCGGCGGGTGTGTGTGTGTGTGTTGTGCCCTGTATCCGCGAGTAAAGAGAGGTTCGCGCGGCAATTAGCAGAGACACGAGTTTCATTTTTGTTGATACGCAGCACGTTTTGGAGCCTTTGCATGTCTTGAAGCTGCACCCACATGATCGGCTCCTCTCACGTGCTAGGGTTGTGGGGTCCCTGCCAGCTCCTGCAACAGACACAAACAATGCGCCCAGGAGGCAGGCAGGCAGGCAGGCGAGGAGAAGAGGCGCCTTTCCTTGGCCAGGGTGGGCGAGCCCGGGTGGGCTTGGAAGGGCGCAGGCTTTTCCGGGGTGCCGGTGGCTTTTGCAGTCGGGCTGCACAGCCCAGCGAGGGCGGTGGGCGGTTGCCCGGGCTGGGAGGGGGCAGGGCGAGAGTCGCGCCGCTGGGGGGCATGGAGAGATTTGGGAGTGGAAATGTACAGGCAACGGCTGCGACGGAGCTGCGCGGTGGGGAGAAGGACTGTAGGGGGCGTGGCTGTTGTTTACCTTCTCAAACTCTCCCGGCTCCCAACGGGCTCGTCCGGGGGCGTCTCATCTCTTCCTCCATCTCTGCCACTGAATCCCTCCCTCCCTCCCTGCACTTCCTTGCGGGCTTTGCACTTTGCCTGGGCTGGGCTGGGCATTCCTCCTGAGGGCGGCGCATCCTCTTTTCCTGCCCTGCTGCCCCCACCCCTCGTGCGGACACCCGATGCCCCGCTTGCGGCTGCTTTCTATACAGTGCATTTATATGGAGTCAGAGGGACAGAGACCTGCAAGGCGCGGGTTCTGCCCTGGAAGCCCACCCCTCGTCCCAGAAGTGTGCGGGCTGGTTGTGGTTTACATGACCCTGAGGACAGATGCTACCTCCCCCACGGTTAAACCAAAAGGCCTTTTCTTCCATTATGGTTGTTTGGTCTCTAGGGCTGAGTCCTCTGTCAGCTTAACCCCTGCAGGGCTTTCTTCACTCAAACATTCTTCTCTGCTACAGGTGCCGCTTATACTCTCTGTCGCCCCCCCCCCCCAAGTGCTGAACACCTTTCTGTCTTTCCCGGGCTTCGTCAGTTATCTTTTCCAGGCTGAGGGCAGGCATTCTGAATAGGGGGAGATACCCTTCAGCAGGGGTGAGGTGCCTGTGGCCCCGCAAGTGGTGTTGGACTCCAGCTCCCACCGGTCCCGGCCAGCACAGCCGGCAGGTTAGGGATGATGGGAATTGTAGTTCAGCAATGTCTGTAGGGCACTATGTGAGCTACCTCTGGCCTTCAGCCTCCTGAGCTTACAGCATGGTGGGCGGTTGAATACTGGTGAAGGAGAAAGCAAACAAATGGCTGGGAATCTTTAGGCAAATTTGGGTGTCGGAAGATGCTCAGAATCAACATGGAATGAAAATAAACACATAGCTCACCCCATCCCTCCCAATCCTTCATTCTTGTGTTTCCCAAGGGATTAGATTAGGCCTCATTCAACACTTCTTTAAAATGAGTGTTAATCTTTTTTAAAACAAAAAATCTTTCCCATACAGCTTGCCTACCCCATCCCATCTTCCATTTTTTCTCTGCTCCTTTTCCAAACTCTTAGGCTTGACTTCCTTTTACATGTGATTTTTGTAGCAGTGCCTGAGCTTCCTACTCTTACCCAAGATTGTTCTCTTGCCTCTTTAACATTCTTTGATGCATTCTGCACTTTGCTGTTACCCTTGCTTCAATGGAATCTCCTTACCCTTCTGTTAAGTTGTCAGTTATTCTGTCACACACACCCCTTGCTATTTTCCTGTGCCACTGAGACAGTCATACCTTCTTTTGATACTTTTCCATTGCTCGCACACTGGGACTATGTCTCTTCTGTATAACTTTGCTTCTCCTGTAGTCCTTAATAGTATTAGCAGCCCTCAAGGATGCCCAGGTGCCCATCTTCTCTAGCTTCAGTAAGCCCCACAGCAACATGATCATGCTCACTCCGTATTCCTGTTCTTAATTGCAATCCTCATCCTTTTTGTCTGCTACTTGTTGATATGTGGATGCCTCCTTCCTTTGGTGGGACTGTGAACACCTGGAAGTACCATAAATCATGAGGACTGCTTGGTAGATTCTGGGTTATTGTCCAGAAACTTAGAAGTAAACAGAAATGCAGGTTAGCATTTAACTGTGTTAACTGTTGGTTAATCTCCCTCAAAGCATCTCAAAGATAGTCAGTTTCTCTTTGCCTGTTTCTCCCTCAGTCTGCTTCCTCTGTTACTCCTCTGTTACTCTTCATTCCTCAGTAAATGATGCTTGATGGTCCTTGCTTTTTCCACGTGTCCCTCTCATTTCTCATCTTGTCTTGCTTACTCTCCTTCATCTTCTGTGGAATTGAGTTCATAGAAGCAAACATTTTAATCTCTCCTTGCTTATGTTTGCATAAAGAAAAAACATAATCTCCAGAAGGTTGATTTCTTCAAGTAGCTTTGCAAATTGTTGGGGCCTCCCAGCTGTCACTCTGGGATATAAATTAATCTCTTTGCCCTCCACCCTTGAAACTTTGAGCACATTTTCCCTACAAATCAAATGCCCGTCTTTGATCGTGCGGCTAACAGCATTTTAATTTTAGACCTAAATTGAATATAATATCCTAATTGCCTTTTCAAATGCTAGGGAATCTGTCAGCACCCCTCTTAGAAATTGCATTTGTAGTTTTAAGTTGAGGAAGATGAAAATGCACCTGATCATTGCAAAAAGCAACTGAATTTCAGATGCATCTGTATAGATCCCTAGGTGCTGTGAACCTTATGCACAGCAGCAGCAGCTGTTTGCAAACAGGCAATTGATTATTCCTCCAACTGTCATTAAACGCAGTGCACTAATTTGGTAAATCTACATGCAAAACAATATCAGAAAGACCTTTGCAAATGAGTCTTTGGCTCCTGATAGGGCAGCAGTTCACTTACCTCATCTTCTCACTGGGGTTAAGCAATATTGGCCTTTAAGAACTATACTTGACCTTTAAACATTTGCTGGCCCCTGAAGTTGAAGCATATTTGAGACTGAATGAAAAATAGTTTGTATAAAGGTCAAGTTTGCTGTAGGAAAATTCAGCTTGGGTTTTGACAGCCAAGGCTGCTGAAACAGGGCAGGAAGGTAAACATATTCCTTGCTTATGGAGGCTGGCCTTACTCAAAATTTCCCTAAGGTTGTTGCCGCTGAGGATATAATTGGAATAACTATAGTTGCCTGCATTAACATGGTCAGATGTTGAGGAGGACAGAACTTTTAATGTTAGGTAAAAGAGGGAGTTCTGTCAGGAAAAGCTTTTATCATGCAGAATTGAGAAAAGCTGTCCCTGCTGAAATTGCCTTGTTTATATAATTATTGAAAATATTGAAACCTTGGCTTCTTTGGACTTCTGTCATGCTAGTCCAAATAGGTATCTTAAAGTCGCATTAACTTCTGTTCTGTTTCCAAGAATCTTAAGGCCTGACTATGTTTACCCTGCCTTAACCTTGTTTGTATGAAGTTAAAAATGAGGAATGAAAGTTGTAACCTGTCAAATCTGGCTGTGTGAATGGAGCCCTGGGTACTCCTCTGGCACTAACGCACATTTTTCATTAACTTTCTGATCTTGTTCTATAAATAACAGAATTCCTGTTCTATAAATAATAGAAAATGGGAGGTGAGAAGTTGTGGGAACAGAAGACTGAAGTATGACTTAAGTTGTCAGTTGTCAGATACATACGTTGGAGCTGCTTCTGATTTGGGGAAGATGTTGAATAGTTTGGGACGATAGTGCACAGATAACTCTGGAGAAGATAAATTTGCTGCTAGGGTTACTACTCTTGAGTTTATTTATCATTTTATTTATTCATTCCATTTATATCCCACCTTTTTTCGAAGGAGTTCAAGGTGGCATAGCTGGTTCTCATCTCTCTTTCTTTAATCTCTGCAACAACCCTGTGAGTTAGGTTAAACTGAGACTAGCCCAAGGTCATTCAGTGAGTTTCATGGCCAAGTCTCCCAGGTCCTAGTCTCACACATTAAGCACTATGACTTCACTGGGATAGATAGCTTTCAGTTAAAAGCTGTAGATGGTAGAAGTTATTTTTCTCCCTTTGCTAGTAGTGCAGCCAGCAGCTGGCTTTGAAAGTTGGTTGCCAAATCATTTTCAAGGTGCATATTTGCCAGTTATTGTAGGATTCCAGAATCGGCCTGGAGCATGCATATTCTGTATTTGGCTACCCACCATCTTTGAATAATTTTGTTTAGAGTGGGCTATGCTTAGTTGTATTTTTATTATTGTTATGCTTAGACATTACTATGTTGGTGATGCCCATCTCTCCTCCCTGTATCTAGATTAACTTCTGTTGTCATTAACTTAATAATAATATAGCAATAATTTATTATTTATACCCCACCCATCTGACTGGGTTTCCCCAGCCACTCTTGTCTGTCTCTGTTGCTAGTTTGTCTGGATATGTCTTTGGATAACCAAAGGGTTAGCAGAATAAAGAGAGTCAGAAAGGGAAAGTAGGATCATAAATATGTGTGATAAAAAAAATCCTCCTAGATATAGAAAAATGCAAAGCAGACAAAGTGAACACAAGAGAGTTTTGTTTTAAATTTAAATGAGCTTAGAAGTTGCTCCAGGAACCAAGATAGTGAGCATGGCTAAAGCAAAATCAAAAATACCCAACCCTAAGAAGTACATGTTGATCAAAGCACACAGTGCTAGTTTAACCCCTCAATCAGAGTAATTGAGCCCTTGTTGCATCTTGAAATGTCTGAATGCAACTCTTTGGTAGCTTTTTGCTGGGTGATTGCACAGACAAAAATGTAGAGTAGTTTCACTGGATCCATCTACCAGCTGCTTTTTGGATACCAGAGACCAAGCAATTTCAGATGGAAGCTGCATGAGTCATGGGGTAGGAGAGAGAGAAAATATGTGGTGTTCGGTGACCTCTGAATATGGCCAAACAATGCTTTCAAAGCGGCATTTTTATACTGATGCTCTGCTAAATAAATAAATAAAATGTTTACATGCTGTCTTCAGACAGCAAACTCGCACAACAGCTTGCAAGATAATAGAACAAATCCAATGCTGATATAGCTGCTGATGATTAAAGCTATGTAAAGTAATACAGCAGAGCACAAAAATGCAGAGTATCCAAAACCAGCAGAGAACAGTTAAAATCACCAGGTTAAAATCATCTAGCTGACATCCTAGAAGACCTGGGCATATAAAAATGTATTCTGGAATCGGGCTAGGTGAGCCGATCCTGGGAAGGGAGTTCCAAATGTGGGGGCACCACAGCTGAAAAGGCCCCCTCTATTTACTACCTTTAGAAGAAGGGGGCTTGAAGAAAAGCCTCAGGTGACAAATGCCAACCGTTGGGGAGACTCATGTGGAAGGAGGCAGCCCTTTAGGATCATAGAAAGTTGCCATCAACTGGGTCAAGCCATTGGTCCATCTAGCTCAGCTTTGTCCACACTGATAGGCAGCCGCTCTCCAGGGTTTCAGACAGGAGTTTCTGGAGATGCCAGGGATTGAACCTGGGACCTTCTGCATGCAAAGTAGATTCTTTACCACTTCACTATCCTTCATTCCCCTTAGAAACCCAAGTCCCCAGCCATTTAGAGCTTTAAAGGCCAGCACCACCACTTGTGCCCAGAAACTGACTGGCAGGCACTGTTAGCTGGACAAGCAACTTACAGTTTTCTTCTTCATTCATTCATTCATTTAATAAAACTCAGGCACTGCTTGATTGTAAGCAACCGTCAATCTTCTTATAGCCAGTCTCGGTTAGCAGCATAGTCACTGTATTTTGAAATAACTAAAGTTTCTGAGAAATTTGCAAAGTAGTTGCCTGTGCAGTGCAGTAGTTTAATTTAGAGACTACTGGAACATGAATAACTCTAGTTGGGCTAGCAGGGATTGAAGCTGATGGCAGGAGGTGCATAATATGACCTCCAGTGACAACACTAGATCTATCGGCACCCACAAAATACAAACTTGATTCTTCAGGTGGGTGTAACCATGCCCAGAATGGGTATTGTCACAATTTGGCTTCGAGTGTATTGCTTCTTGCCTGGTCCATTATTATTATTATTATTTTATTTTATTATAATATTTTGTAAAGAACAATTATAGCAACAGAAGAAAATCAAAAGATGAAAAACAAAGCAATAAAATAGGCACATAGAATGAATACAGTTGCACATGGGTTAAACCAAAGTCCAAGTAAAGACCATCAGTGTTGTCAGATTATGAAGTATAGTTCCAGATTTGCCAGACTTGTGACAAGGGTTGTCATGAAAATGATGGTTCTGCTGACCTAGTCCGTTATTGAGCCTTAACACTGGCGAAGTTAGCTTGTGATCCTATACTGTGGTTTATCACTATGTACATGAGCTGCATCCAACATAATTAAACAAGCCAACTTCATAGCCAGTTTTCTGAAGTTGGCTTGTTTGGAAACTAAGCAGAGTTGGTCACTGAAGTACAGGAAAATTAGAAGGGCCTCGCCCTCCCTGTCCTTTCACTTGTGTAGGTGATCAAGGCTGTTTCAGGGTCAAAACCAGGAGTGAAGCTAGATTTAATGGATCTAGATTTTTCATATGTTGGAGCTGGCAGAGGAAGAAGCAGGAAGTAACTTTTCTCTTTGTTTAGAAAGATGACTACAATTATTGGAGTCATCCTTTTCAACGGGACCTATTAAGTGGAAAATGTTTACAGGAGGCACACAATCCATACTTTCCACACAGGCCAATCTCCCATTCAGTTTCTAGATAATCCAAAACAAGGGTAAGTGCAGGGCTTTAAATATAATGGGACTTTTCCTTCATGGTTTTTTATTAGTTGCTGCTTCCTCAGGTATTCAGGTCTGTCATATTTTTAGATGTTGAAACGTGTAGTGCATTACATATTCAGCTATGTGCATAACTACTACTTTGTGTAGTTTTAAGGAAAATGGATTACAGTGGTACCTCAGGTTAAGTATTTAATTCGTTCCGGAGGTCCGCTCTTAACCTGAAACTGTTCTTAACCTGAAGCACCACTTTAGCTAATGGGGCCTCCTGCTGCTGCCGCGCCGCCAGAGCATGATTTCTGTTCTCATCCTGAAGCAAAGTTCTTAACCTGAAGCACTATTTCTGGGTTAGCGGAGTCTGTAACCTGAAGCGTATGTAACCTGAAGCGTATGTAACCCGAGGTACCACTGTACTTTTTAGTGAAAGCATTTCTGCCAGAGATGGGAAGCGCCTAGTCATGCTGGGGGGTTGTATCTGAGGCTGGAGAATGCAATAATTTACACATCCTTTCCACAGGATCCCCACACACAACCAATGGGAATGCTGCAGTTATTGTCCTGTATTGTTACAGTATAGTATTGAAGATGATTGATATGTAAACACAGGGACTGAAAAACAATTGAAGCTTTTTTGTTTGATTCTGTGTTTCTGATTCTATGGCATATTTCTCATTGAAAACTAGAAAGTAACTTAAAAATGAGAACTGGAATTCACAGGATTCTTTAAAAGAAGAAGAAAAACTGAATTATTGGACACAAAAACCAAAATTTGGTGTATACAGCATGGAGGGGGGATGGGTCACCTTTGCTTTTCAGTTATGCACCAGGAAAACCCCTCTCCCACGGTAGAGGTGCAAGATATCACCCAGTGTGTGTGTCATGCTTGATGGTGCAAATGCAAGAGTTTCTCTTTGGATCTGTTTAGTTAGTCTACTCCCCTTCTCAACTTTGTTCTTTCTTCCAGTAGAGGGCCTTCTTATCAGTTTGGAAACTTCTCTTTCTTGGAATAAGTAGAATGCTAAAAATAAAAATTATCCAAGAGAAAACCAACTAGGATAGTTAGATATGTGGAAGGGACAGAGAACAAAGAGCGCAGTCCTACCATGTCTACTCAGCAGTAAATCCTATTGAGTTCAATGGCGTTTACTCCCAGATTAATGAGATTAGGACTGTAGTTTTAAAGCATGGTTAGGATTGCATCCTAAATGTGGTTAAGCATCTTAATACTAACAAGTACAGAACATAAAAATAATGAGTGCCAAGTCAGTTCTATGCATTAAATAAAATATTTATTGAACCATTTAAATAAAATATTTATTGAACCATATAGATACTATAGAGGAACTTTATCCATATTTTATTGGCTTGTGTATCTCCTTCTGTTCCATGGTATTGAACTTAGTACATAAGAATCCCAAACTTTATATTACTAAAGCTCTTTTTGGAAGATCATTCTTCTCTTTCATAATGTGCCTTTCTTTTGTTAGTCACAGAGGGAAATGTTAAGCGTTCCCATTGGTTCAGTGCAGGTAAAACCAATCAGAATAGCCAGATTGTTGACCAGGGCTGGTTATAGGAAGCATATTGCTACAACACTTCCACTGGTCTGTTTCTGGGCACAGTTCAGCATTTTGGTTATAAAGGCCTACAGGGCTTAGGTCCAAGCTCTCTGAAAGACCATATTCCCTCATAGGAACCTGCTCTTCTTTCAGTTTCTCTACCCTCTCAGGCACAATTGGTAGAGATGCAGGTACAGGACTTCTCGGTAGCTGCTCCCTCCCTAGAGAAGCTAGACTGGCCTCCTCTTTGTTGGTCTTGCTGCAGCAGGTAAGACTTTCTTGTTCCAACAGGCTTTTGGGAACTGACTGCTTTTAATGAAAGGGATTGTGCCGTGCTTTTTAAATTGCAATTATTGATATGTTTTAAATAGATTTTATATATGTATATGGTTTTAATTTTATCCATGTTCAAGTGTTTTTGTATGATTTCCCCCCCTCTCCCTATGTTTCTAGCGGTTCTTATTTTATATGTAAGCTGCCTTGAGTTCTGTTAGGGGAAAAGGTGTAGTAATAGTAGTAGTAGTAATACTAATACAGTGGTACCTCAGGTTACATACGCTTCAGGTTACATACGCTTCAGGTTACATACGCTTCAGGTTACATACTCCGCTAACCCAGAAATAGTGCTCCGGCGGTGCGGCAGCAGCAGGAGGCCCCATTAGCTAAAGTGGTGCTTCAGGTTAAGAACAGTTTCAGGTTAAGTACGGACCTCCGGAACGAATTAAGTACTTAACCCGAGGTACCACTGTTGAATGGAAAAGTTAGCTATATTATTATTTCCCAGCATCTGAAGTTTGAAAAATGCAGAGCACAAGCTAAACAAAACGTCAGCTTGGTCAGAAAGATGATAAAATGGGATCTAGGAGCTTAGTTTTCAGATGTGCTCTGAGCCAATCTTAGGAGTGTAGGAAGCAGCCCAGTCAGACCACACTGGTTCTGCCTAGCTCAGTATTTTCTACTCTGGCTGCCTATGGCTCTCCCAGGTTTCAAGCAAAAGCTTTCGCCAGCCCTACCTGGAAGCAACAGGGATCGGACCTCTCGCATGCAGTGCTCCATCACTTTGAAACCTGAAGCTAGTCAAACACTAGTCGATGGAGCAGGTGTGGAGGGGCATGACTAAAAAGCTTTAAACCTCATTTGCTTTACTAGCTTCAGGCTTGAAGATGGGCTTAGAGTATTTTGAACACATCGTGGGCTCTTATCATACACAAAAGCCCCAGAAATCTGAATTTGATTGATAGCCTTTGAGAACCATGAGAATGACTTCTTTGCTTTTTATTGTAGAAGAGGAATTTAGAGCACCTGGCTTGGACTCATTCTTTTCAGATTCATGAGCCCTCTTGTCTGAACCTTGAGTGAGGCCTAGTTTTTACTGAGGTACTAAATGTGGGTCTTGGATCACTTTATAGTGCAAGTGAAGTTTTATACGGCTGTGAATGCTGTATGACTGCAAATAGTTCTAGCCATTCTGCCCCCCCCCAAAAAATCTGTTATTATTATTATTTGGTATAGAGTAGTATTCAATCAAGTGATGCAGCCTAGGCCTTACATAGTTTTGATTCACAAACTGTAGAGGGGAATGTTTTATGGCATGGAGCAAAGAAAATACAAAGAAGAGAATGAAAACCCAAGGGTCAGTAAGATACTTTTTAAGGAAAAAGGTTAGCTATATTTTCTAGAAGTTACCAAGCAGTTTCCATGAAAGCTAAAAGGCAGTGAACTGTCCCGTGTGTTTTTAGCTGACAAAAAGAAATGTGTCTGAAAATGGATTGCTAGAGAAGAATTATGGATTCAGAAAGAAGATTCCTAACATGCCACCGGGGGTGCTGTTTTCTTTTTTTTATTCAGGTATGTAGGAAGAACAAACAGGAATGTGGTTTCTTTCAGCCGTACCACAACTTGAGAGAACACAGAATTCAGTGTGTGCGTTTCCCTTGACCACCATAGGATAAAAAATGACTAGGGATGGGGAAATTTGAGCCCCAAACGGGACACTGTTAAGTAAGGCGTTCCAAAGGCAGATTATCTGATGACCAAACACTTTTTTCCTTTTCTACAATTTGCTCTCCCAAGACGGTATTTGAATAAATTAGTGATATTAAAGATAGAGATTCCATTCACATGTTGGAGTGGTTTAGGCATTTGCACATTACGGTTGCTGTATAATTCTCGCTTTCATGTTAAAGAGTGCCACTCTGGGAGAGACTTTCCAGGCAAAAGTACTTTAGATCTTATTAGCAT